AAAAAAAAAAAAAAAGAAAGAAAGAAAAAGAAAAGTTTACTTTCTGGTAATGACTCTTTTATCCATATTCTGTATCATGACCACTTTACAATAAAAACAAAAACAGAAATCAAAAGAATTCCATGATCAAAAACAACATGCCAGAGATAAGAGCAGCTGGTCAAAGACAAATAATGCATGAAGAAAGATAATATGTAAGCAGAGATCAAAGACAATCTCAGGGTCTTAAGGAGACCGAGACAGCAACCAGAAAAGTAAGTGTCCCCCAGTGAGACCACAGTGCAGGAAACCAAGCGAGCGGAGGGAGGCCGGCCCTGCCAAGGCCCTGCACTTCCGGCAGAGGGGAGGCATGGAAGCTGGAAGATCACGGGTCTGAGAAAGAGAGGAGAGAAGGGAGGGGGAAAAGGAAGAGCAAGGAAATATTAGTTTCTGAAGCCTCTTTTTGGCAAAAGGTAGAGGAAAGCCAAATGGTAGCTCGAAAGCCCCTGCAGCAGTGGTGGCGAGCCTATGGCACCTGTGCCTCAGCGGGCTGTTTGTGTCACTGAAAGATCTAAGAGGTTCGCCATCACGTCCCACAGGACTCACAGGAAAGGCTTTGTACTGTCCAAGCAGAGGAAGCAAGAGAACGTCCTAGAAATGGTCTGAACAGAAGCCCAGGGAGCAGAGGACGAACCTAGCACATCTCGGGTGAGCGCTGCAGAAACTGCTCTTTCAAAACTGCACCCCAGTGGACCTGAGACTACACGCCACTTTAAAAAGAACTTTAATAACCAAAAATTCAAAGAAATTAGAGGATAACTTCCTTAAAGCAAACATAGCACTTCTACAAAAAGGAAACTGGAACGATTCTTCCTGGCAGTCTGTGTACCCTAACACAGTACAGACAAACAATATATTTTTTTGGTCAGCCCATTTATATAAAGCATTTAAAAATATATCTCATTTTTCCTCCTAAATAATATTACTGAATTCCTTGCCATCGAGGTAGGAAATAAAGATTGGTCATCAGTACAAATACCAAACTAGTTCAGCAAAAGAAATGATAATAAATTCTCATCTGTTATCTCTCATAATTTATACTAAATAAGGAAAAGAGTGCTTTAAGAATGATTCAAATTACAATAGTGGAATACCAACATAAAAACAATTTCAAAATTGTGAATGAAACTTGATATTTTTAATACCAATCAACTCTAAATTAATACTCTATGGTATTACAGTTTGACCCAATTAGACATCACTAATGAAGCTTTAAATTTAAAATATTTTCTAATCTTGCCTCAAATGCAGGGCAGATCTCTGTCTAGTGTTACTCACTCAAAGGCACAATCTGTCAAGTTAGTGTTGCCTTAAGCCTTTCAAAGTCTTTGGTCATGAAAATTAAGTTTTATTATATATCTCAAAAACGGTGTTAATCCATTATATACTCAATGGCTACATGGACAGTGCCATCTCAGGTGTGAGCTGCATGTTTTCTCCACACAAGCTTGCTCACGACAGACGGTCAGTTCCTCTCTTCTGCTCCTTCTCCCCCGCCGTCAGGTTGGCTCCTGGCCTAGCCTGTGGAAGCCGCTCTCCGGAAGACCACAGACGTCCGGACCGGAGCGTTCCTCCTCCATCTCTGAGCGGTCCCGGATCGCTTGGTTGAACGGCAGCACTCCGGAAAATTAGACACTTGGTAAAGTCTTGCGAGAATCAATAGAATGATACTGCCGTTCTGTATTTTAAACTTAAGAAAATCACATAAAGCTCTGTGATTACTCTCGACTCCACTCACCCAGGCCGTGAACCGTGTTGTAGTCGATGTCGGTCCCGCACACGTAGGCGCCAAAGCGAGCCGAGGCGATCAGGAGGCCGCCTGAAAAGGGACACAGCTGTGACCTCGCAGCCAGTTAGTCCGCACCGCCGTGGCTTTCCCTGCTCCCTGCAATCTGAGTACATAGAGCACGATGGGCAGAGCACCCCGAGTGACTCCGTCCGGCCACACCCGGCGAGCCTGAGGGGGCGACCCGGAAGTAGGCATCAGAGGCGCTCCGGGTCCTCACTTTCACAGTACTTCTTCATTCTTGTCAAAATTATGTATAATCAGACATTTTCACCTTGACAATTTGCATAAAAGTACCTTGCTCCTTTCTTAGATTAAAAGTGAGCACATATCGCTTCTGGGCCTTTTGGCTAAGATCAAGCGTAAAAATGAGAAGATAAAAGGCTGCTTATGCAGAGCTAAAAATACATAAATCCTGGTCACGGGGCTCCCTTCCCACTAAAGAGCACAGAATTCATATGTGAGACATTAATTCTTCCAAAAGTTACAGCATGACCATCAGCAAGAAATCAAATCATGACCACGCGGGCAGAACAACAGGGAGAAAGGAACCCGGCAGCTGCTGGTGGGGATGTAAACTATACAACTGCTATGGAAACCAGCACCGAGGTTCCTCAAGAACTAAAAGCAGAAATTCCATTTCACCCAGCTATTCCTCTTCTAAACATCCTCCTGAAAGAGTTAAAGGCATCACACCACAGTGATCCACACAGACCTGTGTTCACAGCCGCACGGCACACAGTAGCTAAATTAGAAAGATCCATCAGCATATAAACGGATAAACAAAACGCTGTGTCCTACAGATAAACCTGAGTCGTAGCTAGGAAAATCAAGGCACCTTGAAATCATGACGTTAAGTGAAATAAATCAGACACACAAACTTAAATATCACATGGTGTCTCATATGAGAAACACAAATTAAAACCAAGGAACAAGCCAGGCATGGTGGCGCACGCCTGTAATCCCAGCATTCGGGAGGCTGAGGAAGGAGGATCTCGTGAGTTTGAGATCAGCCTGGACTACAGAGTGAGTTTCAAAGTTAAAAGAATTTTTCATAATTGTAATCTTCCATTCAAATGAAACTATTTTCAGTGCACGAGCGAGTCCTAGTTAACACCACCACCAAAATCTCTGTCGGTCAAGCTGAAATAGGGAATAAACAGGCTTAGTCTAGGTGTGCGCAAGGGGAAACAACTAAGGCTCTCTCCTCGTATCCCCGAAATGTAACCTCTAAAATTCAGATGGGCGATACCGAGGCTCGAGACCTAGCAGTTAATGCAGTCCTATCCAGCCACTTGCTTTCCTCCTCGATCCGCGTCTGCAGCGATACCGACTCATCCCTCGTGGGGAACTGGTACGCGTGCGCATCACCTCTTCGTTCGTGCTTTTTACTCCCCCGTTCCTTCCCCCACCTCATCCCACCCTCCATGTCTTCGGCCCCTTCCCAGTCAGAAAAGATCGATCTCATTTCCCATTACCTATCCTTTTTTTCCCTGTCACCTAACTTTTATTTTGCTCTTTATTTATCCTTTGAGTTTCTCACGTAAGAGAAGCCATGCGATATTTAAGCGGGTGCATCTGGTTTATTTCACTTAACAGTAAGGTTGCACGGTGCACCCATTCTCCCACGAATGACGCAAGTTTACCCCTTTATGGGAAAGCGGTGCCACTGTACAGACACCACATTTTCTTTATCCACTCGTCGGCTGATGGACATGCAGGTTCTCCCATATTCGGCTGTCACAGGCGGTGCCGCTACAAACACGGATGTGCGTGGGCCACGACGAGACGGGCAGGGAGCCGGCGGAGGGACAGCTCTACCACAGCCATGCAGCACAGTCGGGCCACCCCTCGACAATGCTGGGCTCGTGAAAATGCGAAACTGACTCGTTCCTATCAGAGTCCCTGAAGAAGACAGAAGCATGAGTAAAAGTAGCAGAAAGCAAAGCCCTGGTCCTCCTACCTCCTACCCCAGGGCTGAGAGCACTGCTGGGGGAGGAAGAAGGAGACCTCGCAGTCTCAGTCCAGACACGGAAGAGCGCACACCCAGGAAAGGCCCTGTGTGTGAGGCCTGGACACGCCACACTTCCCCAAGTCACAGGCATCACTGCGACGCTGCCGGGAGACGGGGGCTCGCCCCGAAGAGCGAACTGGCAAGGGGACCCTGGAGCCTCCCGTGTTCCTGCACCACCACCTTCCCCAGGTGGACAGAGAGGATTCTGAGAAGAGCCGGATTTACAGCCCAAAGCCAAGGAACACAGATCCCTCGAAGGACCATATCTGTGACTTAGCTCTGTGCCTTTTAAACTTTTAAAGTGGTTTCGTGAACTGGTTACTGTGTAATCACAGTTACTTATTTAATTGTTCTTTGGAGTACACAGATGAATTTTTGGCCTTCAGTTATACTTGACTTGGACTTTTCTTGGAAGCTTTTTGCGGGAAAAGGGAGGCAGCATCAGAAAAGGAGCCACCGGCTGGGCGTGGTGGTGCACACCAGTCATCCCAGCACTCAGGACGCTGAGGCAGGAGGATCACTGCGAGTTCGAGACCATACGTAGTGAGTTCCAGTCCAGTCTCGACTACATAGTGAGACACTGTCTCAAAAAAAAAAAAAAAGAAAAGAAAAGGAGCCACCACACACGAAGAAGGCAGCACCGTGACTTGTCCATTGTTTTCTATGCCATCAAAAGTGAAAATCCCACATATTCGATCTAAGCTAACCAGTCAGTGTCAATGTACCATTTTTTCGGGGGCGGGGTGAGACAGGGTCTCACTATATAGTTGAGACTGACCTGGAACTCATTATGCAGCCCAGGCTGGTCTCGAACTCACAGCGATCCTCCTGCCTCAGCCTCCTGAGTGCTGGGATGACAGGTGAGCACCACCATGCCCAGCAATGTACCATTTCTTGAACAGCAACTACTTTAAGGCTAAGGTTATATGTTACAGGAGACAGAATACTGCGAGTGGAATCTATTCCATGATAATAGAAACAACTTCTTTTTAATCTTCTGAGAATGAAGTAGAAAGCATTGCAAATGTGAAAAAATGAATGTTTAAAAATTTATTTTTTGCTACCAGAAAGAGAAAAAAGAAAACTGTTAAGATTACTACGTCTGAATAAAAGTTCTATTTAAATAAATACAAGCAGCCTGAGCAAAAAGATATGGCTAAAAAGAGAAATCCTACTGAACTATTAGGTTCAGCAAAAGCGGACTGACTGCAAAGTTTCAGGAGGGAAATGGGAAGAAGAGAAAATGACAAAGATCTCCGGGATTCATCATCTCAGTCCCCAGACTTCCCTCTTCTCCATCGTCTCCTCCAGACCAGGAGAACCCAACACCCGGTTCCTGTGCCTATCATTTTGCAAGGACAAAATCTCAGAAAGAGCTACAACCCTTTCCTTACGCCTGTGAAGGGTGTGCAGTGCACGTCTAGTCGCCTCCTGGCTCCCCTCTCATTCCTGGAAAAACGGACTCACTCGAGAGAGGGAAGAGAAAGAATCGAAGCCAAGGGTTCAGAGCACTGCGCCACCAACAGCCAGCCCAGCACATGTGCACCAACTGTGTTAATCACAAAGAGTCAGGCGTTTATAATTGCAAGCCTCAACTTCACTGCCTGCTGCATTCAGTTGCAAATTATGACTATTCAGGAAATCAGCCAAAGGGACTAGAAAGTAAGTTCATGGTCAAATTCTTTATCATCACCATTTAGTATTAGCTGTATCTAATATCTTTAACCCAAAAAGGAATCCAAGCTCTCAACAAAATAATCATTAAAAGATAATAATAACCGTGACGGTCCACTAAATGTCTATCAGAAGCCAAGCCATCTCCGAAGAATATTATATATTTTAATCCTTACAGCATATGACTATTACTTCTTCACAAATGATTAGACTGCAACAGACAGGTTTTGCCCAAAGTCATGTAATAGTTGGTGGAATAAACATCTTAAACCTTATGCTATATACTCTTTCTTTTTACAATAGTACCTCCTTTGGGGTCAGCACCTGTTGAAGTACACATGTGTCATCTTTCATTACACAGCTTACAGCTATTGTTTTGAAAGGAAAGTCCTCCCATCACCAAGGCATAGCCCTGACGGGAGGAAAAACTGCTTAAGAGATCTGCAGACTACAGGTTATGGCCAGTTTCAAAACAAAAACATCCCCAACTGTCCTACGTCCTAAAGCTATGTCCCAAAGCTGTATTTGTAAACTACAAATTATGAAAATCCATTTTAGCTGCATCTTTGCAAAATCCTCTTCTCATGTGACATCAGCTCTGCTATATGAGTAGTAAGTTGATTAAATCACACTGCCCACTGTTAAAAGCCACCCTGAGACAAACACAGGCAGGTCTCTGTCCTCCACCACACTAACAGTAATGAACACCCTGACTGCTGTGAAGTTAGCATTTCATAACACACTCAGACTCACCCACGTGACAGGCAAGAAATTTCACCTACCATACAACTCTTTTTAAATGCTTTGGCCTGGTTTATGCATAAACTCTATGTTCTGCGTATATGTACATACTAATAATTTTGTACATGTATGTATCTTAACTAATTCTAACTTCACAAAGCTTTTGAAATTCAAAAACAAGATTAAGAATTAATGGCCTGAGCCAAGCATGGTGGTGCACACCTATAATCCCAGCACTTGGGAGGCTGAGGCAGGATGACCGCTGCGTTTTTGAGACTCCTGGGCTACCTAGTGAGTTGCAGATCAGTCTCAACTACTTGGTGAGACCCTGCCTGAAAAAAAAAAGAATTAACAGCCTGGCACTGGTGGTCCACATCTATAACCACAGCACTCAGGAGGCTGAGGTAGGAAGTTCACTGTGAGTTCAAGGCCAGCCTGGGTTATAGAGTAAGACCTGCCTCAAAAAAGATAAATTAGATCAATTCCCACATATTCTACAAGACAATAAATGTCAAATGGACTAGAGTTTGAAAAGGAAAAAAAAACTACAAAAGTATTAGAAGAAAATACAAATCTAGGGCCAGGGATTTAGCTCAGTGGCACA